TTAATTGGTCATCATCGCTGACATCATCAAAAAATTATCACGTGGCACGAACTTTTGGGGGTCGCCCTGGTGGATTCGATTCTGATCGCTAAGTATCGAAATATCGTCTTAAAAATCACCGTATGAGATCTTTATCCCTGTATATTAATCTTTGCCATTTATATTAAATTTTGGCATACGATGATTTTCAAGGTCGATATCCTGCGATCGAAATCACGTGAAAATACCACCATTCGATTCGACTAGACATGGTAAATCGAAATGTTGCATTTTTCACGTGATTTCTATTGCAGGGTATCGAGATATTGCCCTTTAAATTGGCGAAAATCTGATATATCGTTACTTCGTCATAATACCCTCTTCGTCAAAATAGCCCCTTTTCCCTTATAACAAATTATTCAAATAAATAATTTAATAAGAACAAGGAGCAATAATACGTATAGCGCTTACTACTGTACCCCGTATTCCCCTTTTTATAGTACGGGTGGTATTATTTAACTCCGAATGCAGAGATTTTTGAATAGTTCCCGGGTACCAATCAGACACCTGATATCATAACATTAACAATAAATGGTCCAATAAAATCGCGATTTTATTGGAAACTTTAATATTAAAAATAATATGGAAAATAATATAATCAAATCTGAATGAATATAACATTTCTTTTGCTTTAGACAAAAATACCGCAATACTAGAAATATCTTTTTCATTAATCTTACTGTAAATCGCGGTTTATAGTTCCTCCTTAATAGTATCCTCCTCACACAGTATCCCCCGGGTACTATTCAAGTTAGTCTGTGATTTTTTGAATAAGGCCGGGGTACTGTAGTAAGCGCTATACGGTATAAGTTTATCTTGCATTATCAAATGATTCGAGATTAGAAAAGATGGTCAATTCTGGACAAAAACAACTAGAAGAATGGTAAAATTTACTTATATCTGTTCTTTTGATCCAGTCAAATTAAAATTTAGTCCAAAACCAACCTGTCCTGTTCAATATTTTCATAATATTGTGCATTTCAATTTATTTATTGTTGAAAACACTAAATTCTGAATATATTTTTTTTTGAAAGGTTTGATTCAATTTATCAATACATCGACTTCCATAATTATCGTACCATCCCTAAAAAAATTTACTGGAATTTTTATACATAAATATCAATTTGAATTAAATGAACAAATACTCATTTTAAACCTCAAAACTCAAGAATTTTTTAAAAATAATTTGACAACCATTTATTTTAGCCAATTTTCTAAAATTGAGTGATCTACATCAATTTAGTTATATTTGACCAACTGAAACTTCTTAACCAAGACCCAAATTCATACATGGATCATTATGTGCATAGTATAGAGCAAAATTTCATTTTATGACAGAAATTAATGCTCAAAATCGAACACGTCATTAATTCTATATTACCTATTCATCCAGTTCATCCAGTTCTTTTAATGCTCAATTATCACAAAAGTTATGTTAACTATTATATTTGAAAAAGACCCTCTTTCATGGATCCAGAGTCAGTAATCCCATAACGCTACCAGCTGTAGCTCCTGCTAACAAGCCTGAAATCGCACGAATACATCAAACCTCAATATAATATACCTCTTGAGTTGGAAATTTTTTTCGTTATATCGAGTTTTCTTATAAAAATTTGCTATAAAGGTAATTTAGAACAAAAGGTCTTTTTTTAGTTGTAACAAGGATTTCATTATATCCAGGTTTCGAGGTTTGATTATATATTTAAAGATTATTAATGGAGAAATATATTTACCAGTAGCAGAAATATGCTCATGTGTATTACCTTATGAGAATTTATGAACTTGGCGAGCATCTTTTATAGTAAGATCCTTCTGAATTTTAGGAAAAGGACAAAGCCAGTTTCATCTATATTTCAAATGTGGTTCGCAACGAGTGAATGTTCTTGAATTATTTGATAAAGCTTTTTGAAATGATCATTTATAATAATCAGATTAGTTCTTTGTGCACATGCTTCTGATAAAACCTGAATCACGTGAAAAAATAAATCTGAATAATCTTTTATAAAATGTGATCATCAGTCCTTATCAGACCCTATGTTGATAAATGAATACAGTCAAACCTTAATATAATGAAACCTGAATATAATGAAATCCTTGATATAATGAAAGAAAAAACCTTTTGTTTTAAAATTACCTCTATATAGCGAATTTTTATAAGAAAACTCGATGTAATGAAAAAAATTTCCAATTCAAGAGATTCATTATATCGAGATATGACTGTAATTACATTTATCACCTCGTACAATTTCCATAATGCAGTGATTTATTCCTGATCTCATTAATTCAAATCCCAATTTTTGCATATGCTTACAGTAAGTCACTAATTGTGCTTCTTGATTGCTCAAAACTGTTGCAGGACCAGGACGGTTGAGCAAACCATTAATTTTAACTGCACGTGTAAGAGTTATCTCTGAAACCCCAAAGCTCGTAGCAATTGCGCGTACACTGGGATGTTCAGTGTTAGCGAGCATCTTAAGAGCATTTTTAATAGCATTTTGATGAATGAATCGGTCAACTTCTGAATTTTTGGTTTGGCTTAGTTTTATTTCAGATCCATTTTTGGCACTAGCTTTAGTTGCAGGTTTTGGGCTCAATTTTAGCTTTTACGAGTTCATTTTTTTGGTTTTGGACTTTGCAGATTCATTTTTGGTTTTAACTAACATTGTTTTTATTTATTTAAACACATATAATTATTGTATTTGTACAGTTAGTAAAATAAAATAATTTAATTACACGACGTGAATCAAAGTACAGCCATGTGACTGAAGAGTTTATTGATTGCATGACATAAAAATTCGTGTATTTGGTGATTATATAGCTCACTGGGCTTACGGAATAATGCATGCCGAAATTCATCAAATGGTCACGAAAGTTCGAGTTTTATATTAATCCGCCATAATACTCCCTTTACCTTATAACCTACTTTGGAGTGGTTTATATGTTTCAATATGATCCGGGGTGATCCATTAATAACCTTATTCCTGGATTGTGTGATAGGTTATGTCACATACGTACGTGTACATATGTAGCACGGGTAGCAAAACCAATAAAGATGCGCAAATTTTTTGATCAGCCCGGCGAAACAAATCTGGCACAAGAAAATGAGAAATGCGAAAAATACGGCAAACAAGTGTCTAAATCAAATGAAGCACTAATAAAAAATGTTTGTGAATGAATTTTATATATAATCTTGGCTTCAGTCCTAACCCTAAGCTAATGTCATATCGAGGGGTGGCTAAAGCCTGGTGGACATGTGATGCGCATTTATCACAGTGTTAAAAGTTGATTTATTAGCGTTATGGTTTGGGTTAAGGTTCGAGTGGAGGCTAGTGTATATGTAAAATTGCCTCCCCGACATTTTTATTAGTGCTCCAAATAGATTAAAGCATACATTTTCCATAATTTCCATTTTTTTACGTTCGTGCTTCGGATTTGTTTTTCCGGGTCGATCAAAAATTTACGCATTCTTATTGGCTTGTTTCTCGGACAGATAACCGGATCTACCAGGCTTTAGCCAACCCCATATCAATACAATATTGATACATGTATTTACATTCGTAATCGTTATTGTATCACCGGATGACAATTATAAAAATGGAGCAAATTGCTAGTGATTCTCGTGCATTAGAAGTCATGCAGATTTTTTTGCGTAGAAAACTATTAACAATAGTAGCAATAAAAACGATGAAAGAGATGTCAATGACAATGAAGAAAATGGTATGACAAATAAGATGATGACGAGAAAGATGAAGATAAAGATAAACAAGATGATGATGAAGATGACAAAGATGGCGAAATAAAGGTAGAAGCAAGGATAGAAACTAGAGAATTCATGCAGCTAAGATTTGGTCATCGTAAATTGATGTAGTCTGTGCATACGTGGTGTTCAAAAGGCTATTAATGTTTCACACTTTTCTGTATTCAGCTCCAACAATTTAACAAATAAATAACTATTGAATATTATTATCATAACAAACAACCTTATCATTAACAGTTTTAATTTTGTTTACCAATGCACATGTTTCCATAAAAAACTTTAAATGGTGTTTTGTTGACCATTGTTGTAGATATCATGAAGCGACAATAGCTCAGTTCGGGAAGACAAAATATAAATGCATGTAAGCGCCAGTATAGCAGATTTGTATTATTTGATGTATTCGGTGATAACGATAAATATAGACTAAGCACCCCAATAATTTATTTTGGGCTTTAAAACAATATTAATAAAGTTAGATTGCACTGCACATGGTAATGCAAAAATTTTTATTTTTATAAAAGAACCTCATATAAATTTATAAATAGTCCACGTAAAAAAATCATATAAAAAAATCATATATTTATACTTAAAAGGTTATATTTTTAGAAGATAGAAAATGATAATAATAAAATTTATAAAATTGAGTGAATCGTGATTAATTCCAATTGAACAAGGTAAAAATGTTGAAAATAAATCTAATCGAGGAATCAATTTTCTACTGATTTTGCAAGTTTGGTTAATTTGTTTTCTAATTCCTCAACACGTCGAGTTAGAAGTTCGATTTGATTTCTGCATCCCTCACATTGGTTTGATAAAAACGAAGTACTAACTAAATTAATCGAACTTTCATCAATTATGGGATACGGTGTATTGTTATACTCAAATTGTGATGGTAATATTCCCGCAAGTTGTATATTAGTTTGAGTATTGAAATCAATGATGGGTAATGTTTGAGGCAATGTCGAAACGTCAAAATAATTTGAATATAATGATGTAGTGTTTCTATTTGAAAAACTAGAAAAATCAATTTCGTTGATCGTAAGTTCATTTCCAGGTTTTGGAGTTGAATGAGATGAAGATAAGTTGTCAATTTCGGGCGAATTCGACGATTTTGAACTAAGGCTAATTATAGAAGATGAACTATCCTGAGCAACTTTTAATTTGTCTTTTTGTTCATGTGCTTTTAATTTCTGTTCAATAGCTAATCGTTTATAGTAATTTCTCGCTTCTAATGCTATTTTCTTATATTCAGTACGAACATATTCCGGTTCTTTCAACCAAAATTCCTTTGCTATGGCTGATAATTGAGGTTGCGTGATTGACGGATGGTTTGAAGCCTGCAATGCTTTGTAAAAACACATTCTATAAGCGATAAATTCATTTGGCACACGTGATGTCTTTCCGGAAATATTAAGCTTTGTGATTGCTTTTTCGATTAGATTATAAAAAGTGATTTGTGGGGGAAATGGTATAGTGATATTAAGAGAGGATGTACTTTTTTTAACTGTGGAATTTACGTTTTCTTTCATAATGATATTTATTTTTTGTTATAGTTTTATTGGGAATTCTTAAGGTATTAATTAAAACCTTCACTCCAAATTCAAAATAAACAAACTACAGTTACGTATTTATAAAAAAACATGTTTAATATTAACTACTTAAATAATAGAATTCACCAATAGTATTTATGTTTATTATAAGATATTTATATTATGTTACGTACAGAGTAGCTTGATGCCACAACATATGATATTTCAATTACATGTAATAGATTAGAAGAACAAAAGATCAGAAGATATTTATGTTTATATCTTACAAATAGAGGGTTACATAAGCTTTTTTAAATTTTGAGCCACTTATTGGCGCTATATTGTTCTTTTATTAACTAAAACCAAAATAGGAGAAATCCTGTTCAGTTTTTTGTGGAAAAAAAAATTAGTTAAAAACACGTTATTTTCTATATGCATATTCATGTACTATTTATGGAAAAAAATACGTGTGAATGTTTCTTGAAGCATGGGTAACCATCATAACAAAGAATATGCATCTTATGCATTATTGTTAAAGTCAAAATGTTTTTTAAAAAACTTGAATCGGGTCGGAACGTTATATCAAATTTGAAGTAATTATACAAGAACGATACAAATATGGGAAATAAGAAATGCTGACGCAGAAGTATGTGAAAGTACGCTATGATATAATGCTTAAACTTTAATTTGGGACTAATTCTTCATAAAAGAAATTGGTGATAATGCTTTTTCTTCTGGTCATTTGATGAGATAATCCATAGCGACAACAATGTACTTATTACCTCATGCTGTTTCTAGTATTTTTTAGTACAGCTAATATGCCAAGTGAACAATTCAAGCTTCACAATGTAATTCTTACTAAATTAATGTCTTTGAGGTTAAATTAAGTAGCAAAGTTTACAAAGGGATAATTTCTTCAGTGATATATAATAGTCTGTGCTTTGAATTCTAGAATTCTATAGTAATTAATCAATGTCATGCACTCTTTAAGCAAGCTTTTTTGCGTTAACGAGAAATGATAATAAACTAAATTATATTTGTGAGATTGAGCATAACAATTAACAATAAAATAAATATGATCAATATGATGTAATTTTCGTATCAATAATCATTTATGATCGACGTAATAGAAATGTATGTATATGTACGTACATATATGTGATGGTGTATGACACATCTACAATTGAGGTAAATGTTACATTTATAAAAATTTCTTATTTTCTATGTCTCAAATTGTGTTAGTAGAACCATATGCAAGGAAGTGTTCTATGGCTTTTTGGTTCAATTTCCAAGTAATTTTTTTAAAGCATCTTTCGGATACACATATCTAATTTAATGGTCTTTTAAAATTTAATTTTAGACTTTAATTTGAGTGCTAAAAATAAATTGATAAGTTATCTTGTATAAATAGCATACATACACGCCCTTACAATAAATTACCAAGATAACCAATAAAAATAGAAAATTTAAACCTTAATTTCCAGTTATTTGTTCGGCAACATGATGTACAGTACAAAATCTTGTTAGTGTACAGTAAATAGAATGTCGACGTTCTAAAGATATTTTATGTCACAAAACGGCACCTCATCATAATTAATCCATAAAAAGCCAAGAACAACCATTGATTTGGTAGTAAAACAAAGTTTCTTCTAAGAAGAATATACTTTCTCCTTGGTTCAGCTCATAAAACAATGATGATATACTGCAGATGGATTATATGGTTGATATGTTAAAAAATCAAGTAGAGATGCGAAAATTGTATATTATACTAATTCTATCGTCAAAACTATATAAAGTGAAAAATTATAGGCTAATTCATCTAAAAAGTCATAATAATTCTTTTTTATTTGAGATTGATGTTGACGTCAACAAAAAAAACCTAAACTTGAATTTGTTTTTAGTATAACCAATAAAACTTCAAGTTTCAAAATGAAATTTCTTCAGAACTTCTTATTCGTCCCTCCATATAATCACTCACTCTCAATTACAACAGAGGAAATTAACCTCCGTATAGTCACAGCTTCTTTAAAATTATACTTTTCTGGTCCTGTGGTGTAACAACTGTACTAAATTAATGATATTAAGATTAAATTAAATGGCAAAGTTTTTACAAGGGTGAGTATTTTATACACTGACATACAGTAGCATTAACTCTGATTCTATAGTACAGTCAATTATAACGGCGCTGTATACATTGTATTCGGATATTCCGATTTTTAACTATTTAAAAACGCCCTATATACCGAAATTTATAATATAAACACTATATACCGGCTCAAAAGTGCCAATCCAATGCGGCCGTTGTAAACGACTTTGACTGTAACGAGCGAAAGTTACATGCATATAACTTGTTGTTCTATGGTGCCGGAACTCTTAGATCGACAATATGTTTCATTTATCCATCATAGAAAAAGGTTCTCTTTGTAATATTACTAGTTAAATTTTAGAATTACTTCTTAGTTAAGAATGATCAATAATACAGTTTTTTTGTTTTCTATTATCGTCATAATTTATGATCGTCAATGTACATCTACATGCACGTATATGTATATGTTGTACATGTATGTACGTATACGTAACGTATTTTTACATTTCTTATTTTCTATGTTGTTGTGTTATTTACCAGATTAACAAAAGCAAGATGAAATAACTTACCATTATTCCTAATTGCTCACAAAAATGAGAAATTACCATAATTGATCCAACAAAAAGCTAAAAAAATTATTGGTTCTTCTAAGAAGAATGTTCTTTTTTGGCTTCATCTCAAAAAAAAATGATGATATTGTGCAGATAATTGTGGGGGTTGATATGCTGAAAGACCAAGAAGGGATGTAAAATTAAAAGAAGTTTATGCAACTTAATTATATATAAAAACAATTAATACAAGTGATGATATTGTTTTGATTTTATATCTATGATTAAAACTATATCACAATTCTATCAAAGTCGAAATTAAAACTATATACAATTATATCACAGCGGAAATTAAATTATATTACAATGCTATCAAAGTGGAAAAAATACAAACGAATTCGTCAGTTATCATAATTCTCTATTTGAGATTAATGTTGATATTAAGTATCCTCCCTTGTAAAAACTTAAACCTTGATTTGAGACTGATGTTTTTTTAGTATAAACAATATTTCATCGTGACTTTAAGGTTAAATTAGGTGGACATTACTTTAAATGAGTACAATTAATTATTAATACGTACGTATATATGATACACTTTTAGAATTACCAATTAAAGTCAAAAAACTTCATGTTAATTGGATATGATCGATTTTTATTTATTAACACGTAAAAAATCATGACTCATTATTGTTCTAATTGTATATCAGTACAAATAAAGTGATACATTTTCTTCAACTCTAAACTCATTAGATAATTATATATCATGAATGTGATAACCTTCTTAAATACGGAGTAAATACAAAATTTAATCCGATATAATAATCAAAAGGACTACCTTATCATTATGTTGGATTAAATGTTGGGTTTAAAGAAGTCTATCGAATTAGTACATGTAACATACAATCATTAGATGTCATGCATCATATGATTATATCCGCTTGTCATACATGTAACGGTAATTGGAGATGATTAACCAAATATAGACATAATACAAATCTTGTGTACAAGAAAAATGTAGAAACAATTGATCAATAACGGGAGTATTTTTCCGAGATGATAGAAACTTTCGATTCCTAATCTCTCGATTGAAGTTCCAGGTAATTTTTTGAATTACATTTTTTGCTATGATAATCATGCAAACTTAGACTACAATTTTTTTCTAAAAATATAATTCACACGCTCTTTACATAAACTGTATGCATCCGTAAATAAAGAGTAAACGTTACTAAATATATTTCTGAATTATTTCTCTTGTCCACAAAAATGTGAGTTTGCCATAATTGAACAAACAAAAAGCTAAAAATAAGAATGTCGTCTTGATAGCGAAGCAAAGTTTCTTCTAAAAGGAATAATCATTCTCCTCGGTTTCAGCTCATAAAACAATGATGATATAGTACAGATGGACTATAGAGTTGGTATGCTGAAAGAACCAAGAACGCTGCAAAATAAAAGAAGTTACGCAACCCTCTTTCTATGAGATGTATTTTGGCTTAATTATATATTACAAGTAATTATATTGTGAATTATATAAATTATATTGTAGTGATTTCTATAGTAAAGCTATATCAAACTGAATATAAGCGAATAATTAACTACTGTATAGGTTGTATTTAGTACTCACTCCAATAGAAAAATCATTTAGTATAACCAATGACTTTTACGTAAAATGAACAATTCAAGATTCACGATGCAATTTTTTTCAAAAGTTCTTATTAGTAAATTAATGGCTTTAAATTAGGGTCCCGGATCGGATCGGATTCAGACTAAACCCCGGCAGGTTCACTATTGAGCCGAATTGACTCAGTCAGGTTGGATATTGAACCGAATCAACTCAGATAGGATCGGATTTGACTTTTGGTCACTAAGCGATTTTCATCTGATTATTTTCAATAATAGAGCAAAAAAAAATATCGGAAGTTTTTCAAAACTCTAGCAAAACTTAAAATAAAAACGTGCAATAACGACATTTTGTATCATCCTTATCCATTAATTTATCAAAATAATCCTATAGTCTGCCTGTTGATATGTCACAAATCGGTTGATTACCATCCCCATTTTCTTCTTTTTCTCTATTAAACTTTCTACGCTTTGATTTATGAGGTAATTCCTCTCGTTACTAGACGTAGTGTCTCGTAAGTAAAAAAAATCAGTGAATCAAATCAGCAAATTCAATCTTCAGATCATTCGGGTCATTAGGATGTAACCTAACCCGGAATTTAATTACCCATCTGGACGACCCGAAATTCAATGACCCAACTCGGATTCATTCAGGTCAGTTCAGAGCAGTGTTGGCACTTTGTCATTTAAAAATAAATGGCAATGTCATATGACAAGTCATTTTTGTCATAAAGAGTCACTTGGCTGAGTGCAATAGAAACGGTGTAAATTGTATTAGAATTTATTATATAATATACACCGTTTCTATTGCTCTTAGCTCATTTATTTATGAAGATAAATGACATTTGTCATATATAAACTCACATGATTTTATAAACCAATCAGATCAATGAAACTATTATATATATAATACAATCTAATTCAGTCATGTGATATGTCATTTATTTGTCATTTATAAAAACAAAGTTTATAACTTGTCATTTATAACTTGTCATTTTGTCAACTTTCAAACATAATGTCATTTATTGTTATTTTAAAAGAACATGTCATTTATTGTCATTTGTCAACACTAGCTCAGACCCATTCAGAGCATTAATTTTAGATTAAATTAGATGACAAAGTTTTTGTATGAGAAATTAAATCTATAGTAATTAGAAATAGAATCGAAGACACACATAGATAACTTTTGATCTTTTTCTAACGTATAGTCCGCATGGAAAATAATGACACAGTTTTTTAAAATAAAAAATTTAAGAAATAAATATACATAAAAATTATTTTCAGAATGCATATAATATCAGCATTCAGTTCAGTATATCCTCTCTTTGCACAAATACAGATTTGAATTCAATTTGCATAGGGATAATGACTCTAAAAACTACTTCAAACTAATACAACACAAAACCATCTATAACATGTTCTACTTTTATGTTAACATCCACACTTAAAAATAACTATATATTATTTATAATATTGAGATCCAACAATACCAAAATACATATTGCATTTATGAAAATTTTTTAAAAAGAGACTCATTTACAGGAATCACCTTTGCATAATTGCAATGAAATTAGTCAAAAGTTCTTCAAGACCTCAGGGTCCAACTTTTTTGATAAAAAAAGTGATTATTGCAAGTAAACAGAAAATATATTAACATGAATCATCAGGTAATTTATTATGTTTCAAGCATACCTCAGCAGATGCACTCAGTAAAAATCTCTTTATTATTTTCTATGTGTACTGCAATTTTAAGCGCGTTTTTGTGTTAATATCAATGAATCCTATCTGAAGCTTATGCAGTACGAGTGATTTAAAAACAGTTTCTATTTTGTTTTGAAAGCTTAATAACATGTAATCGTAATATAATCAAGAAATTTTTCAATGACGAATCAAATCATAATACTTTTTAACAAAAAATGATAATGAATAAGCTTAATTTATTATTACAGAATAAGTAATTTTTATCAACTTATAAGATCAAATAAACACCAAATAGTTTTACCAATTTTTTTACTATTGATTAAATAAATAGAATAGTGGAAAACATATTCGAAAATAATATAAAAAGTTACAGGTTGTAATAATATTGAAAAGATATCTGATATAACTTGTATATACTGTCAATTATTAAAAACCAATTAAACTTTTATTAATCTCAACCAGAATTGGGAGGCTGAATTTAGACAGTAATTGAAATTTTCAATTTATTTTATGTTAATCTAAAGACAATAGGCTAGATTTTAACATATATTTTTGAAACTATTTTACTACTTGTAAAGTCATTGTAAAAATTTTATAAGCAAATTACATTTTAATTATAAAGAATTTTTACAATTAATTTATTTTAATTTCAACATGATACACACATCTACAATAAATTACCGGGATAACAAATAAAAATAGTAAAAATTGAAATGAGTCACCGTATTTCACCGCACAAAGTATCCCCCTGTAAAAAATTTAAACCTTAATTTCCAGTTATTTGTCTGCAAAATGATGCACGATGAAAAAGTTTGTTACTAATTACATGTAATTGCTTTGAGTTAAATTTGGGTTTAAATTTTCTACATTGAAGAGCACTTTATTTGATAGACTAACGCTGATGGACGATAGAATTAATTGTTTTTGTTAATGTCACGGATCTAACTTATTGTTATTTACTATTTTAAATTGTATATCCATATTGATATTACCGCAAGCAAGTTAGATTCTTATACATGTCTATAATTTTCGTTACATCTTATGGTTACCTTTTGGAAGTTAAAATATATTTATGATACTAATTGTAGGCATATTGATTGAGTTAATCTTAAGACTATGAGTTACATCACCAAGAATGAGACATTTCATCTAAGTCATTGACTTTGTTTCCAATTTCGTAATTTTTTCTTTGCAGCAATCGCAATCGCATTGTTCATGTTTTCTCGCGTTGCTTTCTTTTTGACTCAAATTTTGGCTAAACTCATAACTATCATTTGAGCCCATTAGAGACTCCGTAATTTGATCTATATAAACAGATTGGCAAAAGGTTACTTTTTTTATAAATATCAATTATTGGATGTAAAGAGAATATTACTTACAATGCTACATTATTTGTATTTTCATATTCTGAAAAACTTGGGATTAATCCTATTCGACAGCAGAGAGTCTGATACAAAAAGTATCAGTTGCAACATTGGAAATAAATTATTGTTTCTTAAATCCAGAAAGTTCGTGAAATCAATGAATACTTGGTTTAAATTCTGGTTCATACTCTGGTTTAAATTTTGGTTCATATTCGAATTATTATTTTTGGAAAAATCCAAAATATGGGAAGTGCGTTTTTCAAATAATCTTTCTCTGTGAGGTGTGGTTTTAAATGACTTTGAATTATTTGCTTGTAATGGTTTCTTGCTTCTGCCACAGTTCCATGGTATGCATGGCGGACATGTTCTGGTTCATTTACCAAGATTATTTAACAAGCGAGGAAAGTTGAGTTTGAAAAAGTGCTTGATCATTAAATAAGCGAAGTTCTTTACGATGACGAAACCTTCATCACGACCATTTTGAAATGTCTGTAACAAAACCTATGACGAATGCTTTCTCCATGGCCACTTTGGAAATGTAAGTGGCGAATGACGAATCATCTGAATGACAATTTTGCAAACTAAACCATAAAACAATAGGTCAAGTCAAGCTTTATTAATTTATCGGTTTATTTTTTGCATAATTTTTACCAGACTTCTCAAATTTTCATAATGATGGCCAAATTCAGCATAATTTTGATCGTCTATGGCCTTCAGCCAATCAAAAACATGTACTAGATTTCTAAAATGTAACATTCTTTTAAAATTCGGAATAGAATTTGTACATGTGATTTTAGCTATTATTTTGATTGGTCATAAGGTCTCATCACAGGTTTCATAAATCGTCATGTGATTAAATATATTATTTTGATTGGTCAGAAGGTTTTGTCATTTCGCCTGACGAATGACGTGACGAACCTTTCATCATTATGAAAACAGTTTCATCAGGTATCATTATATACGATGCGATAAAAGTATTAGGCACTCGTGAAGTCTGCACAGACGTTTCGAGTTTTAAAATTTGCTTTCTCGATTAAATCTTTTTCCGTAATTTCGGGAGGGGATTTTGTATTTTTTGATTAAATTTGTATTTTCCATTTTTATTTAACTTAATTGAACTCGAAGGCCTAACAGGTCGTTTAATAAGATCTTTTATGTTAATCTATAATTATTAAATGTTGCTCGGAGCTCGCATCAGAATTTTGTATCAAATAATGATTTTCTTTCACATCCAATTAGCGTATATTTATTAATTAACATATATTTAACTTCCATTTGTGTTGTTTTATCGGTATTGTGTTAAAAAAAAGAGCCATACCTAATTGCGCATATACTAGTGATACAAGTTGATGACGCGCCGAGGCTGAGACAAATGAGGCGCGGGCGGATCGACCTGGCAGATAGGATTAAGCATAGTTCGTTCAGATGATAGACGGGACTAATTATGATAAGATTTACATACAGTGCTCGTCAGAAGTAACGTACTCCCCCCCCCCCCAACTTTCCATAGATTATATGTAATGTACCAAAATTTTCCGAGCACAGCCATTACAAATGCTGATCGTTGTACTTTTTATAGATTGGTAGAGCTTCTATATTGCACATTATGTTCATAAACTTTCATGTCCCAAATACAATGAATCGTTCACTTTATGGTGCATAAAATCTAAAGTCATCAAACTTTTGTATTTTATAAAATGTATTAACTTCTTACTAAAAAAATAAATACAAAATTTAATCCGTGAATATGTTCAGAAAGGCCTATTCTATCATATTCACGGATTAAATTTTGTATTTACTTCTTAGTAAAGATGTTTATCCATTTTATTAAATACAAACGTTTGATGACTTTAGATGTTATGCACAATACCTTTATATTACTTAAATGCGCATAACGCGCGTAATTTTAATCTGTGCTCGGTTCCTGATCACGTGAGTGTGATCAAACCAATAAGGATGCGCAAATTTCTGATCAACCCGGCAAAACAAATCCGACACAAAAAATGAAAAATGTGTAAAAGACGGGAACCAGATGTCAAAATCTAACTTGGAGCTCTAATATAAAATGTCGGGAAGTAATTTACATATAACTTTGTCCTCCACTCTAACCCTTACCCTAACTCAAACGATAAAAGTGACCTTTAATAGTTTGCCGGCACACGTATGATTTGCGAACTGAGCACAAAGAATAATTACGCGCGCATAACGATAACGATAAATATAATCTGTGCTCGGTATGCAAATCACAAGCCAATAAAGATACGAAATTTTTGATCAGCCTGACTAAACAAAGCCGACACAAGAAAACGACAATGTGAAAATACGGAAAACAGATGCCTAAATTTAACTTGAAGCTCTAATAAAAAATGTTTATGAGGCAATTTTACATATAACTTTAACTCTAATCTTAATCCTAAACCTTTAATAGTTGCCGGCACTTTATCATACACGCTATCTGAAACAGTGTTATGATTTTGTGAATGCAAAAGAACAGATAAAATGGTTGGTTGAGGTTGTATTTTTAGAATGTCAACAAACATGTGAGATAGTTTCGATGGTTTTTATACTGATTATCTGGTTATGATTGTAAAATACAATATTTTAACTTTGGAACGAAAATATTTAGCTACTTGCGAAAAACTATTTTACGATTTTCGGGTCAAACCAACCCGAACAGAGCTTTAGTATTAATGCATTAAATACTATTAATAAAAAACATTGATTACTTCTATTCTAAATATTTCAAACTTTTGAGTGTTGGTTCACAAGATATCACGTAAAATGAAAATATTTAATATGCATATTTTATGTTTTGCATGGTGAGCTAATGCGTAAAATTTGAAATTTGAAATTATCTAGAATAGGGTCTCACAAAAATTTTTAATTTTATGTGTTCATCATGTTAAAACTTAGCATTGTGACTAATTTTTTATTCAAAGTTAGTGTTAGTATTTCACATGATTTGATTAAAAATAATATTTAATTACATGTACATGTAAATTATATCATTCCTTTGTACATGTATTATCTAAATTGTGAGATGACGGATATATATCCCAGCGGCAAGACCAAACGAACTTAAATACTAAATACATGTACAATAATCAAAAATAAATTGGTGTTACTTTGTTTTCATGCTTGTAAAATATTTGCTGCTTACTGTTTTTGACTTGTAAAAGCACAAAGTTGACGAAATACAAAAAGCTTTAAGATAAACCATAAAAAGCTGGATTATTGTTAGCGTTAGCGTCAAAGATGTGGAGAGCAATGAGGTTACTATATAAAAAAATACATGTATATAGAATGAAATTACAATTCTGAAGTAAAATAAATTTATCCGAAAACAGGGTTTGCCCACGCGACATCAATTTCTGGAAGTATCTTAGGCAGCACTCGGAATCGAGCACGCGACACTTGTGTTACCCAGAAAGACACCATAGGCAGCGTTCAAACCAACCGAGTCAAAGTTACCTTTGGCGAAAAAATTGGTTAAATTCATAAATTTAAATTACTATGATAACGATAAAATTAATAATAAAATAAACCAATATTTAATTTTTAGAAAACTGGATAAAAATGACTTTCTGCTTCAAAAATTACACCACCAGAGTTCTCTAATGCTATTTACTACATACACGAGAGCTTTAAAGCAAGTGTTCCTCCATAGTGATAGTGCCTAGTAGCGATGATAAGTAAAAAATTTCAACATGATTAATATGTATCTCAACGGAAGGCAGAAGACCATCCCTATAATGTAACCATAACAACAGCATTAAGATTCCTCTGGAAGCAAATCAACTTACCGAAGCCCGAAGTCGAAAAAATTCCCCACGCGTGAATTTTAATGGATGCTTCACAGAATGGAACACTTTTTTCCTACCGGGACACACCCACACCTTTCTTTCTCGCTGATTTAGGTGAAACGAACACTCGTCTGAAAAAATTACTCGATCCCAGTCAAAGTTCTTATGCTTGTTCGTCCACAATAGTTGTTTTTTTATGCTTGTTAGTAAGTAGAGGTTTGGAAAGCTGATTTGTATATTTATCCACAGCTTCATGCAGACGTCGCTGAATACTATCCACACTAACGTCGACGTTATAGTTTTTCATTTTATGTTGTATTTCAGTGGAAATTACTTTTTTGCAAGCTCATTTATTTTTTTTTTTATCTTGGTTTAGAGCTGTAATTCGTTTCTGACTCGATTTTGGTTCATTATTTAAATCTTTTGTTTTATTCCATTTTTTGATTATGTTAAATACTGTACCTTTAGCACAACCGATGTACTTTGCAGTGGCTGCAAGTCTAAGCTTTAGACCTTCGGGATGGATATCGATATGTAAAAAATGATTTCATAACGCTTGTGTAAGGGAATTTACGATGTAGTGCTAGTTAGAAGTTTGATGAACAGTATATGTAATTAGATTATCAACTAGCCTATAAAAGACATCAATGATCAAAACAATAAACCTATAGAATCATAGTGATGTACATGTACATGTACATGTACGTATTAGCGTTAGATTCGGGATTTTTTTCCGAATGCTTTTATACATGTACATGTACGTATGTTGATGTCTGCAATTTTGTGATGTTTGATGGTGTCGTCGGCTACTTTTCTAGACACCCCGTTTAGAATAAAAAAAGGTTTTCCATTCAAGAATAAATATAAACGAGGTGTTTCCCTTTTTGCTTGTTTTTTTTCTTCACCTTATCCTTATTATTTCAAAAGATGAATGAATATTCAGATTTAGAACCAGGCAGTGCATCTACACCTAATAAGAAACATTTTCCGATGCCAATAACTACGTATCTTAGTATTATTGGCGAAAATTTGATCCATTTATCTATTAAGTATTCGAATACATGTAATTGCAAACATGAATTTATCTTAGATCCTCAAATAATAATAAACGAATTAATGAATGAACATCTAACCAGTCAACCTTTATATCTTAATTAGAACTTGATTTTTACTGAGCAATTGTGTCCTTTATATACCCTGGCTTATAGAGATAGACAGCATTTTTTATCACAACTCAGTTAATATATAAATAAATGCTATCATAGTGATATTTCTAGGGTCTTTTCTCCGTTATACAAAGAGTTAAAAAGTATTGAAAAGGAAATGTTGCGAGTCTTAATTAACTTTATGGTTAAAATTATGCAGTGAAAATTTATCGATTTTGTGCTAATAATAGAAATTATTCTAGTTACAAGTAATAAGAATCAATACAAAATTCTTGATTGCATTGTTGTTACGATCTACATTTCATGTATTATTATCGGTTGTAGTTTCGGGATAACATTTCATTTTCAAAAGAATGGCTTGATGCAATTTCTGATGGTAAAATTCATAAAATATCACATTAAGAAATTACTAAGGGAGAACATATTGGTGATAGTTCATTTAAACGTTTAGTTAGCTGAATGCACTTCAATATTCGAAAAAATTGTACTAAAAAGATCAAAAAAGGTTATATTAAAGGAAAAGATAGCTTCGGCGCATTTATCAAGGAGGTAGTTATTATATTAGTACAGATTCTTTAATAAGTTAAAATACAATATTAACTTATTGGTGTTTAAAGTTAAAAACACGTAGTAAGTTGGATCATGCGAGTATTATTCATTTATACTGAATCAGTGAGAGTATGTAAAAAATCACTATGGAACAAATTTACTTGATGAATATTATTAATTCAATTTTTCGTTTCAAGACAAAACTCCTATTTTCTGGTAATGCAATTCGCAAACAACGGGATGTTGCGTGAATGTTTGAAAGAGAAATGCGATACTTTAAACTGGACTACTAGCCAAGTAAACGGCTGATGGTATTCACTATTTTCACTCGTACAATATAATTCATTGAGATTTGGTAATGTTTATTATGTTTAAGTAAATTTTATTTGGTAATAATTCATCAAATTTTTCATTTTTATATAAAGCATTCCAAAAATAATTTATTACACGATGATCAAATAAAAATCTCGGATTTCGATCTTTCTAAGAACATTAATAGTTTATCCTTCAGTGCTTCAGATGACATCGTATATTGAGCCTAGAACGTTTACAGACATAAAATATAAGATATTTACAGTACAGTTTAGGAGTATTATTCTGGAAAATATCGAGCTGCCGTGTCCCTTTCGAAGGTCATAATCAAATAGTCCTTATAAGTCTAATTATAACTGAATTACGTGAAAATACACCTTCTGATACTCCTGCTAAATACATGGAATTATATCAGCATTGTTGGGAACTTCAACCGGAAGGTCAGCCTTTAATCCAGGAGGTTTGCAGTAGATTGATATCAATTATAATTTTACGAAAACTTGATTTTAAATTTCTCCATTTACTATTAATCTCATTTACAGTATTTACCTTACTGAACAGAATTTACAAATACAGCTAAACCTTCTCTAATCATACCTCTTATAAGTCACACCCCTCGTTAGTCACCATCGTTTTCTGGTACCATTTATATATAAATGTTGTGAAAAACTACTATTTTCTTCAACAATAAGCAGCATTTTTATTAAATAAAGTCTTATTTTTTTTTGGAAGTGCTTCATCATGAATTTGTAAGTCACTTGATATATCTTCATTCTCTTTGATTTCGTGTGGTTTATTATCATCGAAATCGTTTGGAATATACAAATAAACACTTTTTGAGCCTAAAATTCGATATGAAAGAATATTTATTAACGTGAAATAATAATAATATGGTTTGTATTTCAAAATAGAAAGAATTGAAATTAATTTCGTAGTAAAGATTCGACTGGTGTAAACTGTATTTAGTGGAGATGTTGTTTTTGATTATATGTAGGGATGTTTTTTTTCAATTTTATTTTATCAAGTTTTTTAAATTCTAACTTTCTAGTTTAACACTCCTTAATCTATATACTCTCTTTCTGACTTAAAACAATATGTAAGTTCATATAAATTTGATTTCTTAAAAGAAGAAGTAAAGTACATTGATTCTCACAATCAAAAATAAAATTTCAAAAAGTTAATCAAATTCAGTTATCACTATTTTTATTATTATTACAAAAGCAACAGTAGCTATTGATAGCAGAAGTTTACAATCACCATTATTACTATTAGCAGCAGCTAGCAGTAAAAAAAGTTCTTTATTATTGTTATTATTACAAAAATAAAAAAATGGCAAGAATTATTATCACAAAAAATATTCTTTGCCAACTTTGATATTGTTATTATTTTTGAGTTTAATATTATTATTACTATCAATAATATTAATTTTTTTATTATTATTATTAGTAACTTAAATATTATTATCATTATCATTACAAAATATAATATTAAAAGAATTTTTCTATTTAATATTAATATTAATATTTAAGAAATAGAAAATAATAATATATAAATAATTATATTATTATAAAATTAAATAATTTAATTTTTAGTCTATTTTTGATAGTTTTATTAATATTAAAAACATATTATATAATCTCTTAGTTTATTAGAATTATTAAAATTTTTAAATTCAAATTTATATTAATCAGTAATAAGTACAAGTATTTTAAATATTTGGTAATTGAATTCGTTAATAAGACTTGTCACAAATATATAATTTGCAAAATTAATATTATTTGTCTTATTTAAATACTAAATTATAATTTGTATTAATATCTTATAATTTATTTATTTTTTATTTATTCTTTTAGTAATTTGAAACTCTATTTTTTAATTATTTAATATATTTTTTGAATAATTTTTCATATAAATATGTGTTATTTTATATATTAAATAATAAATATTATTTCAAATAAATATTTATTTATAATATTTTTACTAGTAAATTATTTATATATATTAAAATAAGTCTTAAAATATATATGATATATACTGCTATAAGTTTATTTACTAATTATTAAATTAGCTTATAAACTTGAACTTGAATTGAGAGATAGTAATAGACTAACAAAAATATTAAAAAAAAGAAATATCTAATATTTATATCAATTTTTATAGAAATTGTATTTACTTAGAAAGAATAATAATATAAGAGTTATAAAAGAGCAAAGATCAAAGAAGAAAAAGAGTATAAAGAAATAATAAAGAAAATTTAAAAGGCTAATTTTTTATACTTGCATAAAATTTTCCAAACCTAAGATAATATAATTAGTAGTAATAATAACAAAGATTCTTTCACTTTGTTCTTTTTACAAGTCAAAAATATTCATTAACAATTAAAAATTCAAATAACAAATTAAAATACTTAATATTCAATTTTAATAATTCTAATATAAGCATAATATAATATAAAACTTAATAATTTAATAATAGAGATTTGTTTGATATAATACAATAGAAAATTCAAAATTAATAATAATAATTTACTTAATATAATATAATATAAAGTTCAAAGTTAAAAATAGTAATTTACTTAATGTAATATGATATAAAGCCATTAGCAATTTGTTAGATATAATATAATATAAGATTACTTATACACAAAATTTAAAGTATATAAAAAATATAAGAAATTTAAAAGAAAATTTTTGTAAAAGAGATTTTTATTTTTAGTTACAATATGTTAAGTTAATTCTCAAATAGCATCTCTATTTATATATTTTTTAAAAATATAAAAAGTGTACTAAATAAGTAAAAATGAAATAACTAATTATATAAAATTAAAATAAAAATAAAGTAAAAAATCAAAAAAATAAAATAATTAAAAGTGAAATAATATATATAAAAGTGAAAAATCAAAAAAATAAAATAATTAAAAAGTAAAATAATAAAAAAGTAAAATAATAAAAAAGTGAAATAATAAAAAAATGAAATAATATTAAAGAATTTTTACTATTATATGAATATTTTTAGAATTTTTATATTTTTTAATTATTTTTAAAATTTGTAATATTTATATTATTATTATAATATTTATATTACTATTGTAATATTTAATTCTTCTTCAAAAATTTTGCTTCACAAAATTAATCTTAAACTTGTCTTCTATATTTATTGATTTTTTTTATTTAATTGATATATCTAAGTAAATTAGTTTAATAGTAATATAAATTTTTTAATTTCAAATATTTTAAAGATCTTTATAATAGAAATAGTTATTTACAAAATTTATATTTTCTAATTTTTTGATGAATAGATTTCTTTAGTTATTATAAATATTTTCTATATTTTTTTGATTGATTGTGAAGTATTTTTCCAATTTTAAAATAATATTTCAATTTTTGTTTCTTATTTGTTTTTTGATAATAATCTTTTTTATATATTATCAGTTAATTCTGATTATTGCTCTTTAGTAATTTTTATTATTGATAAAAAATTTCTAAATTCAATCAGTTCTGTTATTTTTAATATATCAAGTATTGGTATAAAAGAAATTATAATTGAGAAATTCAAAACAATCAAATACTTTAGAGAATGATAATAAGTGATTTTTCTCTAGTATATTCAATATCAAAGTTAATATTATTTTCATAAACTCATTCTGATATTTTGTCTTTGTTGTTATTATTGTATATCTTGATAGTGAAATTGATATCTTTGATTTTAATATCACTATAAATAATTATTATATTATCTAAATTGTTTTCATCTGGAATTTTTACACATGATTTGCAGATACTTTATCATTAAAAATTATATTACTTTTTATTTAATTAATTTTGTTTTGAATTTTATTGTATAATTAATAAATTTCATTGAGTAAATTGATAATATCAAGAGTTTAAAGAGATATAATTTTAATATTTCTAATTTTTTTCAATAGTTTATCTAATTTAGTAATATATATTAATTAATTTTTTGTTTTTGTTGATTTTCATAAGTAATTAATTAATAATTGCTTGTTCTGATGTATACAATTATCACAATAAATTGAATTATAGATAATGAGATAATTTTCATATAATTTAATATTAATAAATTCAAATTTAACAAGTTATAATTATCATTTTGAAAAGATTTTTTGATAAATCAAATAAAAGATTTCAGTAATTAAAATTTTTCTGCTTTATTATATTCAATATATTTGATTTAATTTTTGATATCTTCTTCTTATATATATTGAAATAATATTTTATTTTCAATTTTATTGCAAGCTGAATAGATATTAATTAAGAAAAATTGCTCTTTGAGCAATTTAAATAATTCCAAAATTCTTGTACTATCCATTATAGTTAATTAAAAGATGCATTATTTATAGATACAGAAAAATCATTTCTTATAGTTACTAATAATATAAATAAAGTAATATATATATAATTATTTTTTGATAATACATTTATTATAGATTAATAATTTTTTTCTATTCATTTAAAAGTATATTTGAAATAATATTTTCAATATATTTTTTATACTTCAAATATTATTCAATTTGTATAACTGAATAAATTTGATATAGAATATTTTTATAAAAATTAAATCTTTCTTTTATTTGATTATTAACAAAGTATTTATATTTAAATTTAGTAATTCAATTATTACTTTTATATTTAGCACAATATGATTTATATTTTTTGATAATGATCTAGTTAACTAAATTATTATAATATTAATAATATTATTATTGAAGTATATAATTAGTTATAATACTAGTATTTTGTAATTGATTCTTTCTTATCAAAAAATTTTATCTATATTTTTGTTGGAATTTTTTATTAAGCTATTAGATATTATTTTAAATGAATTTTTTCATTAAACTTTAATTTTTTTTTGATATACTTGTATATTATTATTAATTATTTTTGCACTTCTAATAATACTTGCTATTATATTTTTACTACTAATATAACTAATATTTTTTTGCAAGTATTAACTGGAGTTTAGACTTTTTCAGATTTTAATTCTACACTTTCTTCAAATTAAACTCATTATTGATATGATTATATTATTATTTAATTATCTTTGTACCTAGATATCAGAAAGCTATAATTCTTTAAGTTTTGTTTTTTGAATTTATTTTTATTAGAGCTTAATTCATTATCAAAATTATCAAAAAATTTATTTGAATTATTATAGTCTTATCTATAGATAAATTTGATCTTAATAGTTTTTTTTAATTGTTTTAATCAAATATTATAGTTTCATTATATAGATTAAGTTTGGCTTTAATTTTATTTAGCTAATTTATTTTAACAATTATATTATAAATATAAGCTTCAATAATATCAATATTAGCAGAAATTATAATTTTGATAATTGTAATTGAAAATTATTAATTGTTTCAAGAGGCTATTTATATTTATTATTAATATCAAATATTAAACTTGTATTGAATTTTGATTTCATGTTTTTTGAGAAAGTTATAACTAGTAATTTATTTAGATATTTCAGTATTAATAATAAAATTAATAAAAATAATTCTAACTTTAACTTTATACTAAATTGAAGTAATTCTAAT